CCCCAAAACCCCAAAACCCCAAAACCCCGCAACATAAACTAGATATTGAATTATTAAGTATAAAAATAAGTTCCAGTTCTCAAAATGCTTCAAAGTGCTTTCGTTGGGAATCTTATTTAAAAATTTGAATTAGGGTTAAAGTCACCCACAATGCGAGAGGAGAGTGGAGACCATAGAGAGAGATAATTGTTATATATATAATCCCAGAGATAGCTTCTGAGACAGAATTAGAACCGATAAGGTACTCAAATATCTGGCTCACATCAGAAGTCCATCAGCACTTCCTATAACTGTAGAATTCATGACTATTAGAATCAATGTAGAATACTTCTGAGGCTTCACTGGAACTCAAATTCGAAGGATTTTGATGAAAGAATTAGAATTCTCATACTAAAAAGGAGGTCTTGGATTTTTAACTCAAACTAAGTCATTTTAGAAATAGTGAGTAATTTCCATGCCTTCTAGCTTATACGAGAAAATCAAAATGAAACTCTTGTGTACAATGTCAATGGTCCATTATACAATAGAAATCTCAAGTAAGATTTTTATCAGTTAAATGAAAGTGCAAATTAATAAATTCTCACATAAACATTAAAGGTAGGGCATCCCAGATGCAAGGAATATTAACAGATAGGCATGATTCTACATCCTCACTGGCTTTGTGATGAATCCAGACTTTTGTACTACTTCCTGACAATTTCATGTCGTCTATTAGATTTGGAGGTTAGCATCAAGAACATCGCTAGATTTGTATTGGCTAATATTGTTATCAACTTCAAAACCAAATTCAAAAGCTTATTTCTAAAATAGGATTCATGTGGTATTCATTAAGCGATATTCTTCAGAAACTACTCTGATTAAGAGCTTTTAAAAATATGAAAATAATGCTTTGGAAATGTTGTGAAAAAAAATTATCTATTTCTGATTCAAAAAGATTTGAAATATGGACATACTGTCGAAATAAGTTGGAGCTGAAGTATGCAATTAAATATTTCATTTTTACACAAGAAGGGATTCTAAGCAAATCTAAACTCTTGAATAAGAAACTTGACCAAATTTCGACCTAACCTAAGAGATCTCTAGGTTGGAAGTTTGAGTTGACTTATGAATGAGCGATTTTCAGGATTTGGGGTTCAGATTATTTGAGAATATGCTTGCATTTACTTCTAATCTTCTTAAACCTGGAAAGATAGTTAATTAGAATTTTATATCCCCTATGATTTAAGGTTTCAAAGCAGAAATGGGATTAATTACACTATAATAGTTAACTAGCTGAGTGAATAGCTGTCTTCACCTTGAAGATGCAGTTAGATTTTAAAAAATTGAGAATGTCTGGTTGCTCCGCTTTATCTCTAAGGTGAAGCCAACTATCCATCCAACTTATGGTACTATTATATTGTAATCAAAGGTTTTATAATAATTAACCTCTGAATTTTCGTGTGTAATTTCAGCTTGTTAATATTTTCAGTTAGTTTTATTCCATAAGTTTTTGAAATACATCAAGAAATTTATAATAATCTAATTCATCAACAAGCATAAGTATTCTTATCTATCTCAAACTTTTCAGATATTATATTTTGCTTTCAAGTTGGGTAGATACCAGAACTCCTATAATATTGTCAAATTCTCCCTAGAAGAAGCTTTTCAAAGAGATTTATAAATGTATCTGGTAAATTTTATTACCTCCATTAGTAGCTTTGCAGATGCTCAGAATTTCCAAACCTGAAATAATTTTTATGTGCCCTATCTATTCTTAATTAGTCCTTGGTCTAAAATACTAATTCCAAGGGTGATGAAAGAGATGACAGATTTGCCATATTCTATAACTTTGATGGATATTAGTGGCTTGTTTTAATCATACTGCAGATTTGTTTCGTACAAAAGCTTTCTAACCAATCCAAAATCCTAAAAGTACAAAATTATATCGGCAGATATAGCCCTTCTTCTTCCATTTCAAACTTCAAGAGCCTTACTGTTGGTTTTGGCAGAGGATTTTTGAAGAAATCTCGTTGTCTGAAATGGAGCTGGGGCTCAGAATGAGCCCCATTTCTACAGGGGCAAATTTTGAGCCCCAGCTCCTTTCTTGCTGTGGAATTTTCACAAACCCACTCTTTCACCTCGATCCCTTTCCACCTCCTCCTCCCCCATTTTTAAATATTAAATCATTATTAATATTCATTTTAAATTTCCAATAAATATTTACAGTATAGGGGTTTTGGGGTTTTGGGGTTTTGGGGTTTTGGGG